AGGAAAACTGAAGCTTTGAGAGGTTAAGTAACTTGTCCAAGGTGTCTTAGTTGAAAAGGAGTGGTACTACTCAGGTGTCAGAATGTGGGTCGGTTTGGTTTGGTTCCACTCCTCCTCAGCATCTTAGAGTTGGAAAGAGAATGTAAATGGAAATATCTATTAATGAATCACAGCTATTCTTTTCCATAGAGTTTGATAGCTATAGAAGTGTGAAGAAAATTAGAGTATTTTAATTAAATATAAATATCTAAAATGCGATTTTGCATGACATTCATGTTTGATTGACACACAAACATCTTATTAATGTTTGTCAACTTGAGTCTTCTAAAGCCAGGGTTGGTAAGCCATAGCCCATGGGCCCAATCCTGCTCACCCCCTGGTTTAGCCCACAAGCTAAAAATGCTTTCACTTTTCTCTTTAATGGTTGAAAAAATTAAAATAATATTTTGTGACACAAGAAAAGTAGATGAAATTCAAATGTCAAGGCCCATAAATAAAAGCTTTATTAGAGCACAGCCAGGATCATATGTTTACATATTTTCTATGGCTGTTTTTGTGCTACAACTACGTAGAGTTGAGAAGTTGTGGCTACCCTGGAGACTCTATGGTCTACAATGTCTAAGATATTTAGTATCTGGGCTTTTACAGAAAAAAATTTACTGACTCCTCTTCTATAGCATTTACATGCTCAGGCACAATTTGAGTTTCTGATTTTTTTCTATGAAATTCTGAAACATTTTTAAGTTTTTTTTTCCAGAAGGAACACTAAAGCAGTCTTGCTCTGAAAAAATTTTGACAGCCTGGGCTGATTTGAAATGACCTTATTAGGTTGTGGTTCCAGTTCCTAGTTGGTCCAGTTTGAAAGGCCCTGCCTTAATTCATCTCTTACATACATTAGCGTTATCTCTAGGTGGCAAAGCTGGGTCTTACTACCCAACCTGTCCTTCCGTTATTCATCTTGACTGTGTTATGGGTTCAGTTTCACAACATTATGAGTTCATCCAGGCTTCTTGAATCATTTATAGGGATTTTCATTTTCGCTCTCAAACTCTTACACACTTTCTCTACTGTGAAATTTTTTTTAATATAAAGCTCAGAGTACTAAATGGACTACGCATGTAAAATAAAGCCCATACTTTTTTTAGCTTTAAGAAATCAGAATTTTTAAAAATTTCTTTTTCTTGAGAAACTAAACTTAATTTTGCAGGTCACAGAAGTAAGAAAACACCTTTGTATCTGAGGATCTCAAAGTACCTCTAGTGGAAATACGTAACAAAGTAAAGAACGTCTATTTATTTTTAAATACTGTTTATTTCTTGGAGGAAATACTATTTAATGGGAAAGATGTGACTAGTAACAAATAAGAGTTTAAGGCTATTTCTGGTTCTGTCAATGACTCACTTTGACTTTGGGCAAATCATCTCACCACTGTTGCTCTTTATCTGCAAAAACTGGACTTCATGCCTATGGGAGTTGCATGGCTAATCAATGCCTGGAAAATGCGTAGTGGCAGATGCTACAAAAGTGCTGAGCCTTAAAAACAAAACCACCCCCACCCCCCATTTGTATTCAGTTGAGATTGGGGTTTATTGTTATTTAACATTCGAAGGCCAACACTATGTTAAGTCCAGCGTGCTGCACAGAACAGATAGTATCACTGTCCAGTAGGGATTTTTTTTCTTTAATCTAGAATTTTGGACTTTTTTTTTTCTTTATTGCGGTTGGGGGTTATTTTAGAATCTAGTAGTATATCCATACAAAAACATTAAGCTTTAAGTTGAAAACTATCGATTTGAAAATCTAAATAAACCCCCTCCAAAAAAAAAAAAGGGCCCTCCCCTCCCCGCCAAGAAATCTCTCAAAACAAGAATTCCTCTGATATATTTTTTTTTTCCTCCCTGCAGTTCTCCATGTTACAGTCCTTGGAGGTAGAATAGGCATAAAATACTTTCACTAATAAAATATGACAAACCGCCGGATTATACGTGGCCGATTCCCAGTGATTGCCCTGCTACACAAAGCAGAAAAGTAAATGCCATCATCCCCCCTAGAACAAAAGAACTTAGGAATAAAAAACATGGAGAGGGGGGAGAAAGCAATAAATAAAGGTGAGGGAAGGACCCTATCCCCCGCCCCTCCCCGACGCGAGTGTGGGACTAAGTGTGGCTAATAAAGTGGTTCAAGGGTAGTTATTTGGAAAGGGGGCGGGGTAGTGAGGGGAGGGAGCGGGCTAGCGGCGGCCGGGGATTGCATGTTGCATTCGACTTGAGGTTGCATCTTTCTCCTGTTGCCTGGACCACGCTCCCCCATTGCAGTGCTTCCCCATTGCTTCTCTCCGCTCCTGCCCTCGCGGCTTTTTTTTCCCCCCTTAAAACTGCTGTTGCACTGGAGGGAGTTGGGGCCGCTCCGGAGCCCCTTTGCAGCTCCTGCCGGCGGGAGGGGGGAGTTGGGCTCGGGCCGCGGAGTTGGGGGGGCCGCAGCGGGCTCCAGCCTCGCCTCGGCTGCAGCTACATGGGAGCCGAGCTGCGGCGCTGCACCGGCCCATCATTGCGGCGGCCCCGGAGTTTGGCCGCCGCCGCTCGGTGCTCAGCCCCATCACCACCGCCGCCGCCGCCGCCGCCGCCGCTGCACTGGAGTTTGGCTGCTGCTGCCCTACTTCACTCTAGTTTAGTTTCACTCACTTTACATCCGGGTTTTTTCCCTAGGCAATGGGGGCCGCAGCACACCCCGTTCCTTAGGCAAAGTGAAATAAATTCGCCGCACCGACACGTCAAGTAGTCCGCCCGC